TAGCTAAACGTCTGTAGAGATTCTCGGTCATCCAGGTTGTCCCAAAGGTGACCCCGAGGACACAGATGAACCACCAAGTGCTTCAAGGACCCTCTAAAAGGATGCAAATGACCAGTGTCTGCAAGGAATATACTGTAAATCCTTCCATTCCCCACCATCCAGTCAGAGCTGAAGAAGCTTCTTGGATGAGAAGCGAAACGTCTTCAAAAGAAAAAAAAAAGAAAGTACAGTTGCCTCCTGAAAAAAGCACCTTTGACCCCGAAGACTGAGAATCTGTACAGAATAATAGCTTTGGGTTCAACAATGTAGTTGTTTCGGGTTCATTTTCCTGTTTGCATCTCCTTCTCGCCTCGCAGGTTTTGTTAGGCAGCCATCGTATTTTTGTTCCATTCTTAGTTCTTTGCAGGCTTAATCAGTATTTTTCATTTCCCCGGAGCTGGAAGCTTCGCCAGCACTTCTTGTGCCATGTGCTGAAGAGGATAATCATCACGTTATGACCACAATGAACCATAGCAGAACCTCATATAAGCAAGCAGGGAGGTCACCTTGTGCACAAGCAGAAAGTTGGACACGAACATTACACGGGCAGTCCTCGACTTACGACCACGATGGAGCCCCAAATTTCTGTTGCTCAGCAAGACATGGCTCAGGGAGTTTTGACCCATTTTACGAGCTCCCTTGCCTCGGTTTTGAAGTGAACCCCCGCCGTTGATAAGTTAGTCCCCCGGTGGTTAAGAGAATCGGGCTCCCCCCCATTGGACTTTGCATGTCAGAAGGTCGCAAAAGGGGACCACGTGGCCATGGGACACAGCCAGGGTCATAAGTATGAGTCAGTTGCCAGGCATCCGGATTTCGATCACATGATCACGGGGATGCTGCAAAGATCATAACTGTGAAAAAGGGTCATAAGTCATAAGGAACAAAGGAACAAAGGAACAAAGGAAGATTATAATGAGAGTGAGGGAAGGTCTCAGGAAGGAAGGAAGGAAGATTATAATGAGAGTGAGGGAGGTTCTCAGGGATGAAGGAAGGAGATTATAATGAGAATGGGGGAGGGTCTCAGGGATGAAGGAAGGAAGGAAGGAAGATTATAATGAGAGTGAGGGAGGTTCCCAAGTCATCCAGGTCGTGAGTGCCCCAAAGATGCTTTTTCAGGAGGCAACTGGACTTCCAAGAAGTCCTGTGGCTTTGGGACAACCATGACTGGATGACTGAGAAGCTCCATAGACTTTGAGCTATACAATTTGGGATGGACACCCTTTCAATGGTGTGGGAGTAGAAACGGATTCCCAGAGGAAGAATTCCAGACGACAGGAACCAGGAGCATCACTCAGGTGACCCCCGAAGACACAGAGAAACCTCCAAGCGGCTTCAACGACCCCCCCCTAAAAGACTGTATAAAAACAACTGAGTTGTCTGAATGCCAAGGAATTCCTGAGCACTTTGAGAATCTGGGAGTTATAGTCTCAATATAGATAGTCCTCAATTTATGTCCAAATTGAGCCCAAAATTCCTATTGCTAAGTGACACAGTTATTAAGTGAGTTTTTCCATGGCTCAGTAATACAATGGAATACCATGTAAGTCAGCAATAATGTAACACAATAATAGCTTTGTCCCAAAGGTGCTTTTTTCAGGAGGCAACTGGACTTTCTGATTTTTTTTCTTTTGAAGAGGTTTCACTTCTCATCCAAGAAGCTTCTTCAGCTCTGACTGGATAGTGTGGAGTGGAAGGATTTATATTCCTTGCAGAAAGCTGGTCATTTGCATCCTTTTAGAGGGTCCTTGAAACACTTGGAGGTGTATCTGTGTCCTCGGGGTCACCTGAGTGATGCTCCTGGTTCCTGTAGTCTGCAATTTCCCCCTCCATTCCTACTCCCACACCATTCCAAGGGTGTTCATTCCAAATTGTATAGCTAAACGTCTGTAGAGATTCTCGATCATCCAGGTTGTCCCAAAGGTGACCTCGAGGATACAGATAAACCACCAAGTGCTTCAAGGACCCTCTAAAAGGATGCAAATGACCAGCTGTCTGCAAGGAATATAAATCCTTCCATTCNCTTAGTCCATTTAAGATATAAAAATCTTACCAGTATAACATGGTCGATGCTTACAATTATACATAGGATTCAAATAATCCCATTCTTGTACATTGAATACATTATTGTCCTTTGTGTATCATATGAGATTGAACACTCTATTTCATAGCAAAACAAAAAACAAAAACTTTCATAACAATGACTATAACTTTTTCGCCTTTTTGATTGTCTCGTTTGAATGGCGTGGAGATGTTGCTCATCTCTATGTGTCTGTTATCGGCTCTTTTCCAAGTGAGGCACTCATTGATTCCATGCAGTATCCCAAATGCCAAACTGTGACAATGTACTGTATATTTTTTTAAATTATGCAAAGTAGGTAGAACCTCACAAAACCTCATGTGAGTAATCACTCTTCTAGTTTTAGCTATCTTGCATAATTTGGGACATTTTTAAGACTCCTCTATTTATATACATGAGTGGGAGATTGCCAGGGGCACCACAAATGTCACACCGCTTGTGGGATCTGCTTGGCTGACCCCTGCCCTCTAGAGGACTTGCTGTATGGTGGACTAATTGTTGCAGTCTTATTTCAGAGGTATTTTAATATCCTTGCATTCAATCCTCTGAGTGTTTTCCTTCCTCTCAGCTCTTGTTGCATCGGTGATATTCAGCATATTTGGACCAGTTCTCCCGAACCGGTAGTGGAAATTATGGGTGGGCTTGCCCACCTGCTCTGGCTCTATATCATCCTCTTTAGGCAAGTTTTTCAAACCGCGTGCATGATCAAAGTGCAAGCACGTAAGGGCGAGTACACACATGGGTGTGAGCATGTGCTCTCATATTTGCAAACCGGTAGGAAAAGTAAGTGAAAAGGAAAGGCAGTCTAAAAAATACTTTAGGAGGCAACACAGGGAAGGGTCGTGCGCGAGCGTGCGACACCCATAATGCTTTGCACGTGACCCATCGTGCATGCGTATGTGACCCACCCACCCCCTGCTTTTGGTGTGGTTTTTTTACCCGAAGCCTCCAGAGGGCGAAAAACGGCCCTAGGGGAACCTGGAAGTTCAGGAATGGTGACTTCCGGTTCGTCCCTATGAGCGAACCCGAAGTCTGTCCCGGAATTTCTAGTTTGCCCATAGGACGGGTTTTTCACGCTCTGGAGGNTTTCCTCCCTCCCTCTCTCCATACATTTCCTTCCTCCCTCCCTCCCTACATATATTTCCTTCTTTCCTCCCTCCCTCCATTTTCATTTAAGTCTGCATTATAAAGATTTTTCAACTAATTGGAATTCAAATCTCTATGGAGGTTTGAAAGAGTTGAGGATTGTTATGAAGGTCTGGCTGAAATAGGTGCCTCTCAGATGGGTTTAATTCTGGGGAGAGAGCAGTTGACATAGTATAGAAACAATTTGGAAACAATTCTTTTGGAATCATTACATGTTACATATAATAAATTCAAATATACCTGCAGATGGAGATGGAGAATTGTTTCCTGTACTTACTTGTAGTTCATCCCAATGCCTCTTTTGAGTGCTTGCTTTCCAAGCCTTAACAATCCTTTATTAAAATAAGATGAACTCTAATATTACGTAAAATATTCATGTTTCCATTTCCTCCCCCCATTTTGCTGAAAGCTGCAACAAAATAAGGGAACCAATTTGTTATTCTCCCCCAGGCTAAAGATGTGGTCGTAACAAGCCAAAAAGCATCCATTTCTGAGAAAACATTTGATCCCAGGAAACTGCAAAGAAATCTAAGAAGGTAATTGCGATTTTTTCCCCCCTTCCTTTGGCAACTCAACGTTACGCTGAAAGCTGAAAATGATAATTTATTGGCAAATATGGTCAATATAATGCAGTGGTGAGTAGGACCAATAGTTGTAATACTGGTTGTTGTGAAACCAAGTTTTACCTGAAGAGAGCTGTTCAACAGCTTGCCTATCGGGATCCTGTGTAAACTCTTCTGCTTTAGGGGCTCAGTTAAGAAAGTTCTTACAACTGTAGGAAAACTGTATTATTTTTTTATTGTTTGCTCACCTTGTTATTGATTACAAATCCCATTTCCCCCTCTCTTCTAGGCAATGTTAAACTTCCTGGAAAGGCAACTTGCTAGATTAGGGTAGGCAGCACAAATACCCATGGCGGTTGGTGGGGAGAGTCAAGACTTCCATTATTGTGAAAACAATAGTCCCTTGCGTGAAACAAAGCCAAAAAAAAATAAATCATAACAGTTGAATCCTTCGTAGGTTAGCAAATACCACACAACACAAATGCCTTTCCATTTTTTCCAAGTATGGGAACCTTGGCGTTCCCAGAGCTTGGTTGTTTTCTTGCAGACATTTCACCACCATAGTAGGTAACATCATCAACGCTAGAAGGGAGTGGGATTTGCTCTCTGTTTTATGTACAAGTTGCTTGCTTTGTCAGTGTTGGAGGTGTTCTTGGTGGTTCTTTGATTATGTTGTGGTTTACCGTTAGCTTGTTTGTCTGAGTTGGTAATTACTTGATTGGGGATATTGTTTACTTCTAGATCAGGGCTGTCAAACTCCCGGCCTATGGACCAGATGCATCATGCTCTGGCCACGCCCACACCCCATTTAGCGAAGAGGGGGGAAGTCCCAATATGTCACATAAAGCCGCTGGGACGTGAGTTTGACACCCCTGTTCTAGACTGTTGTTCTGTTATTAATATTGACATGTATCTCTGCTTATCCAGTTGTCGATTGCTGGTTTGGGATTTTTTGTTTCTTTTTTGCCTTTTTTTAAATAAATAAATAAATAAATAAATAGTTTATAATATATATAAACTAACAAAAATAAAACAACACATATAAAAAACTTTCCTCAATTTGCTCAAGCATGTCATTTGGTTACAAAATTTTGTGCATCAGTTTTTACAATTAAAAATAAGATCACTGGTTATCCATCAAACATAACTAAATATATACTTATCATTGACTATTATGTGTTCAAGTTACCGCTAATATTAATCATCCATAAAGTATACAATACTTATAGTGTAGCATATTCAACTCCAGAAATAGTTTCCTACTGCTAAGACAGAGAAAGGATTGTTGTATGCTTCCTCCCATATTTGGGCATACCAGGGGTTGTGACACTAAATACATACACACACACACACACACACACACACACACACACACACACACACACACACACATGTTGTATTTGTGT